TTATAATCATACGAACACTTTTACATGGAATTTATTACATTTTTTTCGTGTCTACGACAAATAATAATTCTATAACTGATTTTGTATGTCAATTACAGATTATTTCCTATAGGAAAAGACTAGGAAAATGTCCTCCTGGAATCACTGTAGGAGGAATATTTACAATATCTCGTAAAAGTATACCCAAGGTAAGACCGAATATGTTAATTTTAATGTAATTAAATTGTTCTAATATCACTTTCAGTTAAATTATTTATATTCAGTCATTTAAAATTTATTAGACGAAATTAATGACTTGTTCTGAAACTTTCAGATCTTGCAGTCGATGAAGTCTTATTTTTCTAGCTTAATTGGTATTAAAAGCGGAATGGATGCTTGCGACGAAATGTTAAAACAATTTTCGATATGAAATTAACCGTTTTGTTTTTATTATTTTTTCACAATATTTATTGCAAACAATGAGTTTTGTAATGACATTCTTATTTTATTAATAATTTAGTTTTAAGAATTTCTATTAATAAGACTTAAATTTATTTTTCCGTAAGTAATTTCTATTGATATGTATTTTATTAATATTATTACCTATATGTTTACTATTACTGTATTAATTTACCTTTACAAATATACGAGCTCTAAGACGGCTTTTCTTTTTCACTAGACTTATTACACCATCAATGAAATGGAAAACAAACTTTAGAAAAATTTTTTATTTATTTGAGAATGCATTTCGGATAATTCTATCCCTTTTCAACTCGTGTTACAACTATGCAGGAAAAATTAGCATAACGGGTACAAATTAGTAAAAAATTTTTTACAATAATGTTATAAAATTGTAAAAGAACATACATGAGACTTACATGGACTATGAGAAACGCAGGAGTTGTGACATTAGAAAAAATATGGATGGTGATTATTACTTAACCGGTANCATCCATATTTTTTCTAATGTCACAACTCCTGCGTTTCTCATAGTCCATGTAAGTCTCATGTATGTTCTTTTACAATTTTATAACATTATTGTAAAAAATTTTTTACTAATTTGTACCCGTTATGCTAATTTTTCCTGCATAGTTGTAACACGAGTTGAAAAGGGATAGAATTATCCGAAATGCATTCTCAAATAAATAAAAAATTTTTCTAAAGTTTGTTTTCCATTTCATTGATGGTGTAATAAGTCTAGTGAAAAAGAAAAGCCGTCTTAGAGCTCGTATATTTGTACACAAGACTAGACAAGAAGCATATCGCATAATTTACCTTTATTTAAAAATTCCGTTTGTTTGAACTAATTTTATTTTAATTTAGTTTGCTTTTAACGGGAAATACTTTGAATTTTAATAATTTATCTTTTTTAACATAGTATCCGAGTTTTACTTATAAATGAGAAATATGTTAAAATTTCATATAGATTCAAAAGAAATTGGAATGGAATATTTTATATTTTTATTTGAACATTTTATTTTTTTTTTCGTATTTTTTCGTCTTTGTACAATTTTAAAATTATACCTTTATAAATATTCTTTATTCAAGCGGCAGATATCGTTGGCATTTACTAAATTAATAGACAAATGCTACATACCACGTACTCGTTTGTAACCTTGCCCAATTTGCACTACCTGGCGTAATGCAATTATTGAAGCTACTGGGCATGGTTAAAAATTAAGACAGCATAAGCACATTTATACCAGTTATTACAGGCTCCGACAAGTAAAATATTTTCAGTCCTGCCACAAATAAGCTACATATTTATTATGGACTATTTGTGACTTGCCATAACGAGCCAAAATTTTAAAAAGTAATAAGTAGATGTAAAATTAATAAATACAAATGTTTTCTGACAGTTAATTATACTTTCTATTTCCAAAGTTTCCTCATCCTTAACACAGAATAAGAAAAAAGTGAACTTTTAAAAAATTAGCGAGATTTTCCGGGATATTTCCCTGTGATAAAGATTGTTTGAGAAACCCTACACCCCATTAATGTTGCCACTATAAATACCAAAGCGCACCAAGTGATTTGATAATTTTTATCCCGTAACATTGTGAAATTTTCTCTCATGCATTTTCCTGAACTTATAACTTTAGCTGTTAATAATTTTAAACCAGACTGAATTGGGTACTTTCGAGCGGAACAATGAGTGTATTGTTATATATTAGAAAATTAAAAAAAAACAATTTAAGTTCTATCTTGATTCTTCTAGTCATACTTTTGCATTATTGTAACTATTCATAAGTGAGGAAAATACTTTTAATATAATCAGTTTTTATTATTTGTTAGTGCATTAGATAAAGTTGGGTTTTTAAATTGTTTTTGTGATTGATTAACTAAAACATTTTTTGGATCTTTATTTGTATAGTCACATAATTAGCGTTATGTATAATTAAATGTATTGTTAAAATTGAAATAGCACAATAATAAGAAAATATAACGCGTTTAATAACTGTAGAATTTTGTAAAAATATGTATTGCACTTTAAAATAGAAAATAAATCAAATAAAGGGTATTTCTTTTAATGTCGATAAGTTTAACAATAAATTATTTTGTTTTCAGACTTTACAAAATATGTATTGTTGTTAGAATGTTCCATTATACGTTGATATGTAATTGGGATGCTGTAATTAAAGAGTTTCTAACAAGTGTGTTTTTCTTTTAATTTCGACTTTATTTTCTCTGAGTGTCTCTAGATGATGGTGACAAAAAGCTATTAATATTAATACTGTAGCTGTTTTGTTAAGCTCAAGATACACTTTGGAATTGTTTGTCTTTACAGGCCCTCATCAGGCTTGGAGCACAAAATGTTCATTATTACAAATTGGAACATTCGAATGAAGGAATGTTAAAAATTTTACATTTAAATGTGTTTTCCTATACGTAATTGGGAGCGTTTAATAAAAGTTGAAAACTTTTTGAATCAATCTATTATTTAATCTGTTTAATAATATACAGGTATTCCTCGTATAAAACAGTTTGTTTTGTTTTCTTTTTACAAAGTACAGTAGACTCCCCTATAACGCGGGTTCCTATAACGCGACGAAAAAATTGCAACGGTATTCGTATAAGGACGCTAAAAGGGACTCGTAAAACGTGGTAAAACGTCATCGCCGACTCGTGTCGCGACAGGATTGGTCGAATCTGGACCAATAGTAGACGAGCAGCCGAACTACTTACACGCTACGGAGAGTTTAGACGGGTAAGTTGAGTTTACTATTGTCTGTACAGTATGTAAATTAGGTACCGTAAGTCTAATACAGCACTGTAATTTTATACATTTCTTGTGAAAGAAACATTTCTTATTCAACGGCCATAAAAATTATTTATATTAATCAGTGGCGTACCATAGTGGGGGCGGCAGGGGCGGCCCGCCCCGGGCAGCACTTTTTAGGGGGCGGCAAAATTGCACAATAAATAATAGTAATATCTTGTAAAAATTTGAAACATCCTAACCTATACTTGCATCGCGCCTACGATAGTGCTATCGTCCGGACAGTCCAGGAATCGGCTCGCCGTCCGGGTGAACTTGTAATTTTTTCATCCGACGAGATCCTGCGAAACCTGTTGATTTTTCTTTTGCTTGTAAGATTCAGTCGCGTTCATATACACCACTAATATCCAATAGAACTATTTTAAAAAGATCGCTGCACTAGCACGGAATTTCATTGCTTGTTCTTTGACAAAATTGAATTTTGGTCTTTTAAATTGAAATACCTAAATAAGGGATGGGCCGAAATTTTCCTCAGCCCCGGGCGGCTGACACCCACGGTACGCCACTTATATTAACGATGTCTCCAAAGTTCAACGAATTTTTCGCAGAAAAATAACATCAGAAATCGCGGCCGCCGTTTGGTGCACTGCTCCGCGACGAAAACAAGCTTGAACAATGGCGACGTCGAACGATGCACACTCGGTAAGTAATCCTACAATTTTTTTGTTTATAGCATAGTTTATATGGATTATTCCCAAAAGATTATACGTATTTTGGAAATATTGAGTCAAATTAGTGTAGAATCGATTAATTTTATGGAAGAAAACCTTTCAAACAGCCGTAGTCTGTAAACTGCACACGTGTAGGGCTGCAATTGGCTCATGTATTTAAGGATTCCTACAACGCGAAATCGTATAAAGCAGAACGTATCTACCGCGTTATATGGGGGTCGACTATATCTCATCTTCTGAGCTTTTTTGTTTACCTTGATCAGAGATATTTGCAAGTCCTTCATTTTTTTATCTATATCATAATTTCTTATGGATGACGAAACAAAAATATTTAATTAATAGATAATTTGTTCTAGAAGATAGCATTTGCTTAGTCAAGTACCGAGCAATTTTTCTTCCAAAATTTGTGCACGAATACTGGATTGTTCGAGTACAAAGATACCGCCGTATTTCGTTCGTCATTTCTACAAATGATTATTTATTTGCGGTGAAATAAAGTGTTATAACATTTACCTAAAACTTTTTTAAAGAAATTTTACTAAGCACGATGAATAATGTATAAAAACGAAATACAGTGACAGTCTTAAGTGCTGATAATCTGGAAGCAACGACAAAAACACTTCGTTGAGAACAAGGAAAAACATTCCACTATCAGTTTTCATTAAGATAAACGGACGAAAAGCACAAAACAAATTAAAAATTTTAGTATTCTAAAATCACTGAGCAAAATTTCGTACAACAGATTGCTTGCTTGAATAAAAATGTATCGAATAATAGAGTTTACACTTAAAAATTGTAAAATTTTGTACGGAGGGTTTCTCAAATCGTGTTACATCTGACAGTCGAAGTTAGCCCGCTTTCCATAGATTGCTAATCGCTGCTCTTTCACTTAAACTTATGTAATTATCAACACGATAACTCTAACAACACGAAGTCACTTAATTTTCCGGTTTATTCACGTTAGAGTATGTTCTTGGTTCTAAAAACTCTTTCCGTTTCCGGTTAAACAGTTTTCCCTTTTAAAGTAAATTTTAACATAGACATTTGCAGAGTTTCAAAAATTTCTTCTGTTTAGGCAAGTGTCCGTTTTGGACAGGTTTTATTTAATGTATCATAAATTTATCTACAACGAATCTTTTATAAAGATGAATAAAAATAGATCATTGAAATCTAAAAATATGATATTATTCTTAGAAAATCGAACGGATATTTCGCACATTTATTTATAATTATTTCGTTAAATATTATGACGTTTTAGTCCATAGTTATTTGTGTTTTATTCGCATTGGTACAACTTTTTAATTCTATATACATCGCTAGCGGTTAATCCACTTTTCTCGTACGGTTCTCTCAACTTTACTCCTGTTTTTGCTTCCATAGTTATCGACTTGCCGTCCTTAGAAAAGGCATAATTTCCATAAATCATGATAGATTCGTAATCAAACTCGTTAAAAATTTTATTTCTAATCGATGGCATTTTGATAAATTGCATTTTCGATCCTAACAACGAAATTAATGTGAATTTTAATAACATATTAACAAATGAAAATATAGTGAAACCTGCTAATGTGATCACTAAAAGGACCAGCTTATACTGCTCATCTTACACAGGTGGTCACATTAGCAGGTTTCACTGTACTTGATAACGATAACTTACCTGGTTGTATGTTATCCCAGTATACAGTAATATAATCGTCTCTATCAGATCGATTATGTTCGTGAAAGAAGCCGAGTGCGTGACCAATTTCGTGCACGATAACCCCTACAGATTCGCAACCCTCACCAAGAGATAGAGTTTGCGCACCTCCAACTTGACCGAAACTCGAGTAACACCTAAATCGTGTATAACAATATTATAATATACATAAAATATTATATTAATTACGTGACAAATACGTACCCATCTGCAGCGGTGAATTTAACATAATCTCGTTCGTATCTTCGCTCTTTGAAAGTGATACATCCCGAGGATTCTTTAGTTATGTGATTCATTGCTTCAGTGATTAAATCTCTTATATGTTCTATTATAAAAACAACTAATTAATTTAATTTCATCGTTTTATCTATATTAAGTTTGATAACGTTTAAAGATTTTACCTAAAGATGAATCCACCGCATAAATAACTACACCGTCCTTCCAGAGACGATCAGGGTTTACTATTGCATTTCTGGCCTGAATGTAAATATAAATTAATTTTGTTATAAAAATTAAATATTTTTATGAATAAACAAACTTACGTCATTGTCTTCTATCCCGACAATATCTCCTTCGAAGAGATCGGGATTATGTAAAGCTCTGTATGAAAGATCCACTAGAAATTGTGAAATTACCATAGATTTTTAGAATTTAAATCTTTTATATAAATTTTTATATCAGTAGTAAAAGAAAATTTACCATGTTTCGCAAAAGTCACAGTAAATAATGCAAATATGAACAACATTTTCAATGAGGTTATCAGTAACGCTGCACACTCGCCTCTTCACTAAGTGAACTGAACGTTTCTATTTATACAATCTTCTTGTATAATCTAATCGAAGCTGTTTATAGATAATTTTTGAATGAATTTTTATAATTATATAAGATACGTTAAACATTTATGTATTTAAATGTTTTATAATCGAATAAATAAAATAACAATATTAGGCCTATATAAAATAAAAAGTATTATGCCGTTGATATTTATTTAATTTTTTGCGTTTAATTCTTTTCACTGTTTTAAATTATCGATTTTAAACTAAAGTTTTCATTAATAAAACATTTATTAATTAATTAAAATAATTTTTTCTAATGAAATAATGTAAAAAAAATCCAATTTTAGGTTTCGAAATAATGAAATATCAGTAATAAATATATTTTCTTTCTCTAGACCTTGGCCACACTTGTTAAATATTTTTACTGATATAAACAAGGTAAAAAGTATTTTTTCTATTCTGGAAAATTTTGTTTTATGAAGAGAAATTACAGAATAATTCGTAGATCTTAAATATAAATTTACACAAAATTTTTCATATTTTTATTAATTAATTTAATGTATTAATTTTCTGTCTTATCTCACGATAATTCGAATACTGTACACTTATTATGCGAGAAGAAATTTAGTTATCTCTACTAAACTTATTTCTAAATTATATGAACAGCAGTTCACTTTCTCAAGAAATTTATATCTTTAGTTTTAGACTTAGATAAGAATTGTATGCATAGAGAAAATTTAAATGAGATAAATAAAATATTTAATAATAACAAATTATAATAACTATAAACATATTTTACCTACCATTTACAATAAAAACGAAATAATTGTTTTAAATAGTTCATTCTTTAATTTTTTACGTAAGTGGCCATTCATAAACTACGTTCCCTTAAAGGGAATAGGGGTCAAATTACAGTTGGATATAATAGGGAGTGTAGCAGTTGGTCATTTATCTGTTTTTTTTTTCACGCTTCCTTTATGTAATGCTGAGCATTATCTTTACATTGTATTAAGGTAATATTATATATATATTCTGGTAAAGGGAAAATACCTTCCACGATTGAAAATATATTAATTCATATACCTTTAAATGACTTCTCCAAATAAAGAACAAAAGGTGCAATTGATATGCATCAAAATAATACTAAATATGCACATTTTCCTAACAAATAAAAATTATTTAACAATATATTTTACTTATATTTGCTATCTTTTTCCTTTTAATTACTACTAAATTTATTAAATTTCATTTACTTAAAACTAATGTTGTTATTTATAATTATATTTCATTGACGTATCATATATTAACAGCTGTATGTTAAAATATATCAGTTTGTTTAAATAATTATCTAAAATAGCAAATTGATGGAGATATACGAGGCTTATCAAATTGTAATAAAATCAAGGAAATCGAGATCACGCCAAATCCTCACGAGAGGAGGAAGTTCGTAGTTAGCATATAAACAATTACCAAAATATAAGCCAAAACTGACAATTCCAATATTTATTGTCGTTCGATCCATTGCAATAAATGTTATCGAATCTCTCAATCGGTTGAAAAGCCTTTAGTACACAAATTTGCTTTTAAAGTTAACTTTGAATTCAGATCTAGCACAGATCCATTATGACGTTATCAAAGATATAACACTGGACAACAAAAAAATGTTTTTGAATGTTTCCTTTATTTCATGAGTGAAATCTTACTAATTTTGGGGTGAGAAAATTGAATATGACAAAGAAAAATTTATATTAGCTCTAGTTTCTGTGGTTTACGATAGGTAATTTTAACAGCATAAGAGAAGATGATACATTTTAATTACATATGCTTACAACATCGAAAGTGCTTTTGAATTTTTTTTTTAATTACAGTAACATTCTAAGAGTTCTAAATTAATAGAAGAATACCTGGCAGGTGGTCCAGTGTGAAGAGAATCGTGTAGTGACTTTATGAGATCGTTTGCTTTTGGCTTGCCTCTTGTAAGTGAGTTCTGGTGCATCCCTACACACAGACTAGCAGTAATCCGCAAGTAATGCTTCATTCCAATGGCCCTGTTATCTTTGTTCCAATACAGAAATATCCTGGTGGAATCTTTCCCCATGTTCATCCTGACAGCTCCACAACTAGGAGGCAAAAAGTCTAGGTATGAATGGAAAAAATGGATTTTGAGGGACATGTTGCATCCGAGTTGATAATATTTTTCCAGAAGTATTGTCACCAACTAAGTGTAGTTATCGTATCTTTTGTTGCTTAAGAATCCACGAATAGGAAATTACATTACATTCATGCGGACTGGCCTGTAAGAAATCTTGACTCTACCGAGAAAAATATCGTTGCCCAGACTCTCGTGGACCCAAAAGATGTTCTTCTTCAACCCCTTCATATCAAGCTGGGTTTAATGAAAACTTTTGTCAAAGGTATGAACCAGAAAGGACAGGCATTTAAGTACTTAAGAGAGAGATTTCCAAGATTGAGTGATGCAAAGGTTAATGAAGGTATTTCTGTTGAACCACAAATTCAAAAACTTGTAAAGGATCCCACGTTTGACCACGTTTTGGGGGGAAAAGAAAAGGACGCTTGGGAAGCCTTAAAGGGCTATCCCTACTGTCCCACATGCATAAAAAGCAACAGTATTAAGTGTACTCCAGTTGCATTCCTAAGAGTAAAACGATGACTTTTATATCGCCACATATTTTCCACTTGTGCTCGGCATAATTGATTGAGTCAAGGAGGGCTGTCATGTTTGCATAAATATATATTCTATAATAGAGTGTAGTTTTATTATATGCTGATCTGAGGAGTTTTACAGGAAAAACGCCAACGAAAATTTCAAATAATTGAAGATGCACTATTTTGTAATGAAACATTTTATTTTGCAAATTTTACTATAAAATCTTTCTCATATATTTTGTATTATTTAGATTGCGTTAATCATTTTAAATTATAATTTAAAATGAATAAAAGTTTCAAATCTTTCACGGACCATATTTTAGCTTTTGTGGACCACTGATTGGGAACCGCTGCTCCAAAGCAAGACCTAATCGGTCATTTTTATAGTGATTTTTAAATTCAGCAGATGAAAATACATGAGAATATGCTAATTTTGAGCCTAAAACAAAATCATTGTTGTTCAGTGTAATCTGTGTAACAACGTACACTATTGTCTGAGTGGATAACACTACTTAAGATTAGTTGTGCATTTACTCTTCCTCAATGGGCCAATGTTGTGGAGTTTTGTATGGTTTATTTCGCGCCTATACTATTTAAATAGGAGATACGTTTACTATAGAATACTTCTTAAGTAATATTCTTTGATAAACTATACCGTATTTAAATGGTATTGCGAAGAGGGAAAAAGACTGTCCTCTTGATAAGTGAACAATAGAGTAGTTCGGAGCAGTATAATCGCATTTACATTTTTTATATCCATATTTTCAACTGATTTCAAATAATATGAACGTGATCTAAATATGTTTTTAAGTAGAAAAAGCAATCTTGTATGTTGCTACATTTATACTCATTGTTTGCAATTATTGCGATTCTTATAATACTAATTGCTCAAACAATTTAGTATAATTAATTTCTGACTATTATAAGACATTGTTTTAATTTTGCAAACATTTTCACCTATATTAATAATTGCAAGAGTTTTATGGATAATTGAAAACACCTTCATAATTAACATTAACATTATATTGATTGAGGTTCGTTCTTTGCGTCATCTGAAAAAATTTATTGATGCGGTGTGCCACGTTTCTTCAACGATTTTCATCACTTCTTCATTTCTCTCGCAAGATTCTAACGAAAATGATAACTAAACACGTCAAATCTATGTTTTCACAACTTTTATCAACACAAAACACTTTTTGTCTTCCAATTTTCATAGAAAATTAGATCGAAATAGGCACTGAATGAACTCACTGTAACTTCTATCTATTAATCTACAATTACTGTAATTATATACACTATATCATATTATAAATTTAAACGTTAATGCAATTATTACTGTACGGGTCGAGCATCCTTCAAATGACATTATCGATCTGTTACACGTTCATTTTGTTATAAAGTATTATTACACAATTAATCAATGTAATGGAGATAATATATAATTAGATAAAAATTGGAATCAATCTTTAATTGATAATAAAACTAATTAAAATCGATACATTAAACACATTACACTATTACACTGCATCTCATAAAATGTTCAGCAACTTACCACAAATTCCAGATGTATAAACGACTTCGTAATCATTACTACAAATTTAAGAATCATATATGAAGAAGAAGGAAGCTTCGATGTTGCAAACAACTGTTCATAATTGTTACTTTTTCCTACGTTCAATTTTATGAAGTTAATATCAATACATAATGTTACAAAATGCACTGATACTAAAAAAAACAGTAACACTTCGAAAAGGATTTTTAATGAACACATTACCTTCTCGTTTGAAATGGTGGCTTAGTATGTTTTTAACTGTTCTGTTATTTAGAAAATGTTTACCACAACTTTTAAACTGTTCAAAACAAATCGTTTGTGATAGATTCTTAATTATTGATTTACTCTGTCACTGGAAAAGCTATCCAGCCAAACTTTTAATTTGTTTACTGAACTAAATGGATATTGATTTAAGAACAAACGTGTTTCTTTGCATGTATTCTCTTGAAACAGTTTGATCGCCATCAGTACATTGTAATTTCTTGAGACATATTCAAAGTTGTTTTAAAAACAAAACTATTTGAAAACATGATTCGTAACTCGGTGAATCATCCATCCGATTGTTTCTGCTTGTTATGTAGACTAACAAAAACTAAAATTATTCTTTTAATTTTTGGAGTTTATGTGCCATTACAAGAAGAAAACTCTAACTTCATGTATAAAGTCTATCAACAATTTGTAAAGATTTTGTTCATTTACAGTAATATCAATATTCTTTTATTTATCTTCTTGCAAGGCGAAGAAAGACTTCGCTTCACGGGAGGCATTGAGCATCTGTTTGGTGAAGACTTTATTCTTTATTGCATCTTAATCTTATCTGTAACTTTACTCGGTTATTTAGAATTCC